GTGTGTGTGTGTGCATGTACTGTACATTTGTGTGTGAGTGTGTATGCTAAAGAGAAACTAGTGTCACATGCTTTTCACACCAAATGGGGGGAAAAGGAAACAAAAAGAAATGCATTTGTGCTTACAAATAACTGCTTTAACCATTTACTCTTGAGGAATTAAATTGTAGCACTTTGATGAACTTCCTTTGAAGATGTACCCTCGTCTAGTCCTCATCCCCTCCCATCCCCTGAACAGACTTTTTAGAAACATTCCCTTCTGGACGTCATAGGAGAATTTGTGCAACAATCCTAGCTGTTTTAGCCCTGAGGCTGCACGAGTGCTACTGCTCCATAAAAACTTCAAGCCCCGTGAAGCTTCAATCTTGTGCATAAAGATGGAGCAGTCCGGAGAGTTGTAGTTCTTTGTAGTGAAAATGCTGTGTGTTACTTACTCACTGTATTGTATCTGCATTTAGACACAGTACAACTACACTAGATGAATTGTCACAGTGAGATTTTAAACCAAATCTGCTGCTCTCTTCCCCAAATCAGGAATCAGGTTCCATCTTTCTCCAGTTCAGCTCCTCTACTGCCCTCCAATTAGAGGTCATCTTTGAGGTGCTGGAGGAGTATGACTGGACAGCCTTTTCCGTGGTGTCTACGCGTCACCATGGCTACCAGGATTTCCTGTCTGTGGTTGAGGGCCTGACGGACGGCTCGTTCATCGGCTGGGAGAAGAAGAGTGTGGTGATCCTCAACGTGACTGACGACCCTGGGGGGGCACGCACGCGCAGGCTGCTGAAGGAGAACGAGGCGCAGGTGAGACAGGGGGGAGGGAGGGGGGAAAGGGGGGAGGAAAGGGGAGGAAGTGCTGCGAGTGTCATTGGGGGCCCCCTTTCTGACAGGTGGCTTCCCAGCTTTTTCCTTCCTTCTTCGTCTCTCCCTCTGTCCCTCCACATCTCTCTCTCCCCTCTCTCCTCTATCCCTCTGTTCTTCTCTTCCCCTCCCATCTGCCAAGGCATAAAGAGTTCAACGGTACAACAAAAACCACGAGTCAATCTGATTTGCTGCCTGGTGTCGTGTGGCATTGTACAAAGAGTTATGTGCAAAGTGTTAAAGAAGTAAACTATTTAACACACAGTTTTCCCCTTGTTTAGCCCTAAGTGGCTTTAATGTTGGAAAAAACACCTTATTCCAAACTGTCAGTAGTACAGTATCACATATAGTAGATGTTCTGTATCAGCTTGTTCTAGCTCTTCATAGATTATACTGTAAAAACTGTTTACACAGAGTGAAATATTCATGGCTGCACCATCCCATCAAATGGCAATATTCGAGATGTCTTGTGCATAATTTTATACATATTTGCTGAAAATTTAACACAACTCGGTATCTTTGGAAACTCTGAGCTCTGCACTAGCATTTAAAATAAACGTGTGTGGGTTTGAACAATGTTTGACTGCACAACTTAAGTTAGTGATGAGTGACCCAATGTCGGGCCACTGCTTGCTGAAGGAGATAAAGATGAATGGCGTGTAAATCCTGGTGTCTGGATAGTTTTTACCTGAATATCACATTATCTAATTCATGATTACATTTTGATCCAGACATAACTTAATTTCTTCTTTTTTCACTATTTTTATTTAACTTTAATTTGACTTCATTCTAGTTACCTTCTTTATATATAAATACATCAATATAAAGTTATTAACGGCATCAATCTTTTCTTTGATATTTTAAAAAAACACCCACTACATTTCAAATTCACATTGATTCATTGATGAGCAGAACGACTTGTGGTTTTGGCTTGTACCTCTGGTGTGTTTCATTCCTTCATACTGTATGCCTGCTACCTCTCCTACCACAGTGGCTTGCTGATTCTTCCCTTCCTCTCCTTACTTCTTTCAAACTTCCACCCTCATTTCCCCTGATAACCTTTCCCTCCACACTTCCTTTATCATGTTTTTTTAGCCCGTCATCCACCCTTAAACCTCGTCTTTGACCCCATGATCCTCCTGTTCAATTTTTCACTCATCTCTGTGTTCTTATGCTTACTCCACTCCCCCCTTCCCCTCTGCCTCCCTTCCTGCGTTTCTTTGCCTAGAGACAAGCTCACTCTCCTCTGCTGCCTTCCTGTTCACCTCCATCTCTGTATGGCTATCTTTCATTCCTTCAGTCCATTTGTCCATCCCTCTTGCTGCATGTCTTCCCAGCCACAGACTCTGCTCTCTGTTGGCTCGGTTTAGTCTGGGTCTCAATGTCATCGCTAATGTCCCAGCATGGTCACTGCAGCTCTGCGTGTGTGTGCGTGACTGTGCGTGTTTGTGTCTGCGAGGGTGTGCATGTGTATTGGATTCCTTAGACACCACTCTGCTAGTGTCACTGTTAATATAACATACTGCCTGCAGTGGGTTCCCTATACGCAGTGCTTGCTTTTTAACCCTCTTGCTTTTCACAACAACCCCCTTCTTTTAGCTTTTCTCTACTGCAGGGCTAATAAATGCTTTTGATTGCTTAGTAATGCTGTGTATGTTTGCATTACATGCTTTCTCTCTCTCTCTCTCTGCCACATACATGGTTGTGTCCTCTACATTGTAGATGGCCTGATGCAGGTCTCTGGGTCAATTTCTACTCAAATCTCTCACTGTCTATCTTTTGTTCCATTTCTCTTCCAGCTTCTGCCTTGTCAGTATTTCTTCTGCTCTCTCTCTCTCTCTGTTGAATGTTCTTCTCTTTCTCCATTTCCCGTCTTTAGATATTGTGTGTCTGTTTATAACTCTGATTCTCTCCTTCCCTCCTTAATTCAGTCTTCCTCTCTGTCTGTCGCCCTCTTTCTCCCTCCTCCCCTCCTTCCTCCTCCCCCTCTGTCACTCTCATTCCCTGCCTAATTCACTGGAGGTTTATTGGCATACAGGCAGGATTGTTTTGCCAAGCCATTACAGTTCAAAATTCAATGAAGGCGCAATTCTCAAAATGTGCTTTCAGTCTGTTTTCCTGACTCCTGCCCTCTCCTCCCCCTCTTCCACAAAAGTTGTCTTTCTCTTTTTTGTCCTCAGATTCCTCTTTGACTTTTGACGTCACTCTATTATTTTTTATGTACTTCTTCAATTTTAAATGATTTTGCTCTTTCTTTCTTTTTCCTGTATTTGTCAGCATTTAACCCCCATCCACCTTTCCACTCAGCTCAACTCTATCTTCCTCTTGTCGATCCCTTCCTTCTCTCTCCATTTCCCCTCTAACCCCTTAAAACCCGCTTTGGTCAAGTTCTACCTCCATCCTCAACCCTCCTTACCACAGCACTTGCAGCAGAGAGCTCATACACTGTCACTGCACTGTCTTTCTATGTTGAATTTCTCTATCTTTAATGTTTTCTTCTCTCCTTCTCCCCAGCCTCACTCCATCATCCCACCCCTTCTTTCGCAAATATCTCTTATCTCTCCAGGCCCCGATTTCAACAAAATATGTCATACTTTGCTTTTCTCCACCATCCCTCCTCCTTCTTTCCATTCTCCAAGGAGCAACTTTTCTGTTTTCCCACCTCTGATTATTTCCCTCCATCCGCTCATTTTGCCCCCCATCAAAATCCTGTTGTCTCCTGGTCTTTTCTCCAACCTGCTTTTAATAACATATGTCAGAGTTTAACCTCTTCCCCGTTATTTTCCCTCAGGTGTGTTAGGTCTTTAACCGCCCTTCCCTTTCCCTGCTTCCCTGCCTCTACCTCTCCATTTCTGCTCTACCACTTGCAGTCGCTTCATTTTCTCATTCTTGTTTTACTTCTGTTTTCATTATTCATAACTGTAACTTGTTTCATCAGGCCCAAGCTCATTAAGCACTGACCCTTATTGCCTTCTGCACCTCCTGGTTAGCGCACATAGCATTCAACCATGCAGTCTTCCCTCTTTCTGGTTTGTCTACTTCTTTCTCTGAATCATTCGCCCGACTCCCATGAACCTTATCACATCAGCTTACAGTTATCTCTCCTCTTACCTCCCCTGGCATACTTGTTTTTTTTAGATATGGCCTTTTCTATCCAACCTCCTCCCCTCCCGTTCAGGTGCACCTCTGCTCCAGCTCTATCTTTTTCCCCTTACTTCTCCCACCCTCTGTCTCTCTCCACGTCTCCCCTGTCCCCTCCTTATCTCACTAGCGTGTATGTGTGTGTGTGTCTCCCCTCGTCCCTGTTCCCTCCCTGCCTTCCTACTGTCCTCCAGGTACGTTTGCTGTACTGCTCCCAGGAGGAGGCTGAGCTGGTCTTCCGAGCTGCCTGGGCCGCCGGTCAGGCCGGAGCCTCACACATGTGGTTTGCTGTGGGGCCAGCTCTCTCAGGTTTGGGCACGGAGAACCTGCCCCGGGCTCTATTTGCCGTGCGGCCCCAGGGATGGAGGGATGAACCTCGCCGGAGGATTGCTCGGGGTGTGTCTGTGCTGACTCACGGGGCAGTGGCAACACGCAAGGATTACGGGACCACGGGTGGGCCAAACTTTGTCACCAACTGCATGACGGATGCCAATCAGACCCAGAGACTGCGGGGCAGGATGAGGTGAGAGGGAGATAAGAGGAAAGAGGAAACACTGTAAAAGGAGAATATGAGGAGGGAAGGAAGAGAAATGTAGGTTTGGGGGTAAGTACAAGGCAGTTGGCAGGCTCCAGACAAAATATGTGAAAAAGGAAAAAAAAAGAAATAGAGACAGGATAAGGTGTATTCTATGAAATGAGTTGGTTCGGCGCCAGAATGAGCTGGAAGGTATATGGGTGGAGCTGGTAGATTCAGTGTCAGAGAGCAGGCACAGAGGGGATATCTGAATTTGGAGCTGGCTATCATCCATGCAAAATAGATGTTGTTGGTGCGTGTAGTTGTGAGTTGGCAAAATTACCCCAGCATCTGTAGCAAGCGGACCATGTCTCATGTATATTAATGAGCTGGCTTTAATATATTCCTTGTAGGCTGTGCAAACAGGCAGCGGCACACTCTAACAGGTAGCCCAAGTGGTTCTGGTTATCATCTTGGTTCATTTTTAACGCCAGTCATACTTGAACCACATATACAGCACACACACAATATTGAATACTTGTTTATTCTGTGTGAAAATGAGCCAAACATGTTATCAATTAGTTTATTTGCAGTCATTTTTGTAAATTAATCACAGTATAAACTGTGTGGCAATTAAAGGGGAAATGATTAATGGATTCTTCCTTCTTTGTTTATAAACTATGTCCAAGAACAGAGGAAGATGTTTGCATTTCCATTTTTTTGCACTGCTACCTGCTGTTCACTGTCTGTAACTGCAAGCTGCTGTTCCATATGAGGCTTCCTGTCATGTAAAAAAAAAAAAAAGCTTTCAGGTTTTGTGTTTTGAAGCCAGCAAGATGACATGAGGAGACAATTAGAGCATCTGTCCTGTGTGATTATCAGACAAACTATATAGCTTGCAGCCCATGCAGAGAGAAGCACTTGTTTGACTTCAAAGGTCCTGACAATTCTGCGTGTCTGATCATTTGTCTGTAGATTTGATTAACAGACAAGCACTCATGTCACTATAGAGGTGCTGTGACTTAGTTTCAAATGAGAAGAGAATAGGGCGGGCTCATTGTTGCATCAAAACCAGCCTTAAGATTTCTATTTTCTTCTGATCTCCTCCAAGAAAATAATTAGTTCATTTACGCATATTATGTATTTTCTGCCATTTACTTACTGTCTGCCTTCTCCTTTTGTTACAATTCCTCGCAATGCAGGTATTTCAGCAACATCACGCTTGGTGGCCGTGACTACTCCTTCAATAGTGACGGTTATCTGTCCAACCCCTTCCTGGACGTAATTTCCTGGACACCTGGACGCGGATGGGAAGATGTAAGGAAATTACATCAGTTCTTTTTCTACAAACTTGCTCTGGGTCTCACTCTAGAAGAGAATCCCATGATACACTTAATTGTATATTATTTAGTTGTCTCCATAAACAGTTTGAATCTTGGTAATTATGAGAAACTGTCACTCTACCTTCTGACTGGAGCAATGTTCTTGAGTCTGTGTGAGCTAGCAAGAAGAGCAGATCTGTGCTGTATTGGCATCTGAAATAAGAATAAAAACCTGACAGTGAAGATAGTCGGGTCACATAGGTTCATTTTCATGTAAAGTTCACTATGGCTATTGTTGCCCGAGGCAAAGAAGAGAAGCTGGCTGCTGACCATTTGACCGTGCTTTGTCTGCTCCTACTGTTCAGTTTTTGTTATCTTTCTGCTATTTCCTGGTTAAAGTACACTCAAACAATACAACAAATGCACACACTCATACTTATAGGGCTACAACAATTATTTGAATGGCAGAAATCAAATCATCACAATTTTGATAATGATTGTTACTCGTTTAAGTCACCTATTAAGAAAAACATACAAATATTCTTAGTTTCCAGCTTCTAAAATGTGAAGATTTTTTGATTTTATATTATAATATCTTGGGGTTTTGGATCGTTGGTCTGAAATAACAAGCAATGTGAGGACATAACCATGGCCTCATGGAAACTGTGACGGATCAATTAATAATTTTTAATCAGAGGACATGTCTGTCTTAATACAAGACATCCATATGTAACTTTAAAGACTTATTAGTTGCTGTAATCTCCCCTCTTCTCCTTAGTTATTGTGAAGCAATACCTTCCTAGTGTGATTCCATGGTAAAAGATGGAGGACAAAATCCACAGTCCTAGTTTTATGCAAATGAATTTTAAAGTTAAGGTGAAGCTAATATGAGGCTTCAGCAGGCTGAATTATCTAAATCAAAATGTTATCCTTTGAAGTAACAGTCACTTTACCAAATTCCTTCTTTGTGACTCCCTGAACAGTGTTTACTTGCTGAGATGCAGCAGAGGGACAGTAACACAAAAAGGGAATTTTGAACAGAAACACTAACTCTGGAAGATGCCACTTTTGGTTTGACTAACTCTGACTGTTTGAGCTTCATAAAGCTGCGTTTGGAAAGCATTTCTACACAGAATGAGGACTGTAGAAGGTTTCTTTAGTCTCTAAATGTACAAACAGGCATGAGAAAATTGTATTTAGACAGACTAAAACCAGTGAACCTATCCTTGAATCAATAATGTAAATAATCAATAGTTGCAGCCCTGCAGTCAAACACATGTACTCATACATTTCATTCTTTGTGATTTTGCTGAAAGCAATGTTGTGATGTTGCACTGATCAATAGTTGCTGATTCGTTCTCATTCACTGCCTGTGTTTTCACGTCTTGTAAAATGTAATGCAGATTTAAATAGTGCTTTTGATTTACCATCTGGTTGTAGACTCCCCATTGTTTTGTCTGTTTGAGTGTCTTGTCTACATAACTGCATGCGCATCAACCAAGCACCAGTACCCCTGGCATGTCATGCATATTCTATAAAGCGGTGGTCTGTTCAGAAATCCTTAATACGAAGACTTGTTACCTGTTGGAGATGTTTTCCCTTTAATATGTGGGGATTTTACCCTTGTCAGTGTCAGAAGAGAGAACGATGCTCATTTTCTCAACCACACACCAGCACATCAACACCATACTGTACATGCATAAAGACACACAGCACACTTGGAGCATACACGCCACAACTGAACATAATCACAAACACCACACAAATACAAATACCGATGCACCCACACAGGCACACAAACACACATACATAAGCAGAAATACACACATTGGTGGTTCTCAGCCTCCTGCTGGTTTTAACAGCCCACCAGAGTCCAGTCTCAGCGTGTCGTAACATGCTGACTCCTGCCATATCCTGCCATATCCCTCAAATCCCTTTCAATTAGAAGCTCCTGTGCTGGTCCTTCGACTCTGCGCAAACCCAGGGTATGAAACCCACCCCCCCCTCCCCCCCACACACACACACACGCTTAGAACTTACACACAGACATCCACATGTGTGTGCACACAAATGAGGGCACATACTGTATGCTTACATACATATGCTTACACCCTTCTTGCATAAACCCTGTTGCTTACACACACACACACACACACACACACACACAATGAGGATAAGACGCCTGTATCTGCCTATTATGCACATCCACGCTGTTGGCTCTCCCTGAATATTTAATGTTCTCTTTACAATGACTGCACCATTACCTAGAGCCCGGGAGCACCCAGCTTAGCTTACTGAAACACTGCAGACTAGTACTGAAGGTTGTCCAGCATTTGCATGGCTTGTTTCAGCTACAGCACATAAAACTAGATGTTCCAGGATATTATCGGAATTTAATGAACATTTATTAACGCCACTCACAGCTGCTAAAGGATAATGTTTTAGTTTTAAGTGGTTCCCAGTCTCCAAACTTTTGCTCCAAACCAGAATACTTTCTCTGCCACAAAATATTCCAGCAATTTGAAAAGTCTGAAGTGGAATTTATTTGCTGTTCTTTTTCTGACGTTTGTGTGTGGGTTTTTCTAGGTATTTGTCTGATAGAGAGTAGTGTGTTCTCCTGTAAGCTCTATCTGTTTCCTGTCTGTGTTCCCTGAGTGTGTTGTGATTGAATGTCTGTTGCGGAGCTGCGGTCGAAGTGCAGTCGAAATACTGTCATTGTTGCCACCTCCTCCTCTTCTCTCTGCCAGCGCTTGCATTACACAGACAGGCAGGCTGCACAAAGCTGCCAAACTTTACTTTACTCAACTGGCCTGCTTAAGTACTCACATTCTTGTGTGTATTTTTTTTGTGTGTTTGTGTGTGTGTGTGTCTGTTAACTGTATATCTTCATGTATTTCTGTATGTGTGTGCATGAGAATACAGTATGCACACTTTCTTTGGTGTACGTCGGCACAGTTACACTTGTCATGACACTTAGACGAGACTTTTATCAGGTGATCATGCCAAGATGTGTCAAATGATGCTGCAAGAGAAAGGTTCACAAAAAAAAAACTCTGCACCCCTTCTTGGGTGTGGTTCTGCCTTGTGCTGCTTTCAAAAGTCTGAATATGCCAGGCACCAGCATTCAACACACCCAGTGTGCATATAAACAATGCAAAAAGGAAGGGGGAAACAATGATACAGCCAAAGGGACGCTTGACAGACATTTTCAGGTCAACAGTGGACACAGAACAATGTGGTCTCACAGCATCATTCGCGAACCGATTTTAAAAATCATACTGAAATGACATCTGTAGTCATGGGTTTGCCGTCTGCACATGTGTAAGCGCCTGTAAAAATGCATTTTGACCAAAGCTTGTCACATAAAAATCCTTCAATCTAACCCACTCAAAATAAATCATAACTCCGGTTCCAGGCTATTCAGCAGCCTAAAGATTAGAAATGTGGATTTCTGCGTTCCACAGAAAAAACCCTGTCACCATAGCTCCCTCAGTAAAGCCCATTCTTTGTATAAGTATGAATCTGTGAGGTGCTTGCATTCATCCTACTCAAAGCCATTATATGTAAATTATTATTATTTTGTCCGATGTCTGATTTGACACTAAAGTAAATGAGTACAAACATATCTGGATAACGATGTGACCCCATCAATCAGTATAGCCACAAATGTGCCAGGTAATTGCTCCCAACCCACATAACAATTAATATTCAAGGACTGGTGTTCTAAAAAAGAGCGAGCGGGCACAATAACCTAAATAATACCTGTACAATATAATGCAAAACAGTACGATAGCCATGCAGTAAATATAACCTTTGTGAAGCTTATTATACTAAGTTTGTACTGTTCATTCATCTTTGTTGTCACTTTGTGGCCATAGTTTGTGATACAGTATTGTAAAATGTATTTCTATAGTGTATCTGTATCATGCAAGGAAAGACAAAAGTGAGCAGTCTAACACAATGATTATAGAACGACATTTATATGGGATTAAGTTGTATAGGTGTTAATGTTGTTGTGTTTACACTGTTTCTGACAAAGTAAATGTTTAAGGTTATGGTATTGTTATTATAAAACATTAAAAAAAAATCTATTTAGTGAACAATTATTTAAAATTTAATTAAAGTGGCTACTACAGTAAAATACTGTTCTGATTTTTTGCCTGATTTTAAAGCTTTATTCTATAGCTTTCTTATGCTCGATTGTAAAATATGTGATATGTGCATACCTAAAGTGCTTGTAGGCAAAAATAGTACAGCCGTATAAATATATTTTTCTGTTCTTTAGTTGGTTTGACATTAAATTAAATAACCAACATCATCTTTGTCTTAAATGAATGCAGAACACATCTGTTCAGGGACTACTTAACCTTTCCATGCTAGCTCTCACAATCATGAGCAATACTAACTGTGGCATTTTGGTCAAATATTTTTGCTTTGTTATTCATTACAAATAACAGAATTAGTTGTTTACAATTTTGATTCAATTTCTGATTAAAAACAAAACAAAAAACTGCATCACTTAACAGCAAGAGTTATGGAGTATAAAATACTTTCCAACAACTCATGAGCCATCACACCAACATGTCACATCTCCTGTATTTAACGTGTAGACATAAAAACGACTGTGATTGAACAAGCAGCCAGTCTAATAGTTTGGAGGTGCTTACTGACCATGCAGCTGGCTCAGCTCCGGTAACTGCACAATGTCCCGTTCTCGGTTCACACACCCCCAACTTTAAACAAAACCAGGGGATTGGTGAATTTTGGTTTACTGGTGACTAAGAAAACTTCACTGAGATAATTTACCTGGACTCACAGCTAAAGTTACCCGGCGTCCCAGTCCCATCTGACTTCAGCACACAGTGATCCCTATGCAAACCTCAGGGGGGCAGCCAAAAAGTTATTTCCCCACCTGTTATCCAGCGTCTTCAGAGCTGTTATTGTGGCCTTTCTTACTTTCTATCATAATAGACTTTACTTTTGCTTGGGACGAAACCAGTGTTCAGTGTTTCCAGGGACTGCGCCCTGTGCGCGTTACGCAAGCTGAGGCTATAATAATAATAATACTTTTATTTGTACAGCAATGTACAGCACTTATCTGAACAAGGTTACAAAGTGCTTGTCCCAGTTACACACACGTTGTTTGTATTCAGAAGACATCTGTACGAACACAAACATAAATGTAAAGATACAACCTGCTGCTGGTGATCACACAGGTAGAAAATGACCTCTCGACTTACTTTTGTGACCGAATTAAGGGACTAACTATGGAGTGCTGAGGTCACACATGGAGCTAAACTAATCGATAAAGTAAAGATAAAGTATTACTATCAACCCATCCGTCTAACTTCCTCAATCCTCCAATATCTAGTTACTATTAGTAAGTGTATAATCATTTATTGGCAGTCTCTAACTAAAGCAATGTAATTGGCTCAAACAGACGTGGCGTCATACATTCTCATGGACACTGTATCTCTTCATCCTTATTCACAAACAAACAACAGCCTTGATTATGGGATTATTTGCCAAAAACGGATTCTCAACGCTGTTTCAAAAAATGTGACATTAATAGATTTCTGTCACACATTTGGAAAAACTTTAATAACTTGAAATGTCAGTACAGGAAAATCTTGGCCACTTTGATTTGATTCTGTCATAAACAACATACGTAATAAATCTAGAGCATGTGTTTTGAAGCACAACAAGCAGAAAAGAATACAATTTAATATAACTTATTTCCATAGATGTCCTCACTGTGTCAAATCAGGATCACAGAGTCGGTGCCTCTGCTACATTACAGACATAAGTGGAAGTTGTAACATGAAGATGTAAATTATTGCAAGCTTTATTCATTATACAAATATTACATTTATACTAAAATACTAATTACATTCACCTTTTCTACTCTATCTTGAGCAATGCAAATGTGGATTGTGTCTCTGATATTTGTTTTGTGTTCAGTAGGGTTGTTGAGATTACCTGGTTTTGTTTATTGTTATAAATAAAGGTGGTGTCAGTTAAAGGAAAAGAAATACTGATTGTGGTAGAAATGTTTGGCATTGTGTAGTCCACCTCTCTCTAATGTTTCTCTTGTCTGTTCCCCCAGGTAGGCTGGTGGGAGAACGGCGTGCTGAGACTTCGGTACCCAGCCTGGTCCCGATATGGGCCATTCCTTAAACCACCTGATGATGCCCAGCACCTGCGTGTTGTCACGCTGGAGGAAAGGCCATTTGTCATTGTGGAGCTGGCCGACCCCGCTTCCGGGACCTGCATCCGTGACTCAGTGCCCTGCAGACGACCCCTTAATGCTAGGTTTGAATCCTTTTCAAACTCCTCCATTTATTAGGTTAATATGTTTTGTGTAGGATGTAATGTTATTGACTTGTTCTATAGGTTAATGTTTCTTTCATTTATCACAAGTCGTAAAGAAAGGAAATGATAATCAGAAAAAAAATCCATTGAAAAAAAGAAAAGCTCTCTTTGTTATGAATGGAGTTCCTAAGCTCTCATGATGCCATCCAATTGAGGAGACATCAATCACCTATCAAAACTGTGGTCTCTTCACACTCTGACCATAATCAATAACAGACTGCTCTCCAGAGGATCAGTGAAATGACTCAGGGGTCTGGAATCAGATATGACCACAGTGGAGCTTTATGGTTCATCAGCTTCTGAAGGGATGACAGCACCTATCCTACACTGGTCGATCAAACCTGTCACCGAGGACTTGGTCACAATATTCATTCTCTGTGACCATTTTCTTCTCTTTTCCTTTCCTTTCATAACTAATCTAATGTTAAAATGCATTTAATGTCTTTTCGTTTGACACTTTTAACTTTCCCTCTATGTGATTTTTTCACAGCGCAATCCACGAGGGCGTGGCTCCCATGAAGCAGTGCTGCAAGGGCTTCTGCATTGACATCCTCAAGAGATTGGCCAAGATTGTCGGCTTCACCTATGACCTTTACTTAGTGACCAATGGGAAACATGGGAAGAAAATTGATGGGGTTTGGAACGGCATGATTGGAGAGGCAAGTCTTTGTTTGTGTGTGTGTGTGTGTGTGTGTGTGTGTGTGACTGTGGTTCTGCCTGTCTGCCTTTGTGAGCAATGTGTTCTCAATGTTTGTCCTGTGTCACTTGCTTATGTGTGAAGGGTGAGTGTGTGTGTGAGTTTTTATTTGTGCCTCTGCATATTTTGTGTTGCCTTTGCCGTCGACAAGCCTCATAGTAGCGTTCCTCCGTCTGTCCTCCCACGTCCTGGGTGACCAGTCAAACGCTATGTGTCACATCAATCGCTGTGAGAGTTATGGCCACTTAACCACTGCGAGCAATAAGACAGCTGTCATTTATTACACACACACGGACATGCACACATGCACAAATGTAAACTGTACTAGAGGGCAAAAAAATGCAGTTACACAAATAACAAGCATTATGGCTAACATTTGCAGTGAACACACACTCTCTCTTGCAAACACTTTACTACAGTATGTTTATCAGAAGAGACAGAGTGTGTACATCCTTGTACACACAAAATACATAGAAGCACAAACACACACACATTGTCAGACACCCCCTGGCTAGTTGTGATTAGTCCTTGATATTTTCTTGGCAATACTCACTGAGGTTCATGATCCCCCATCAAGAAAGACACAGAAGCTGACAGAAAAAAAACCCAAAAAACAGGCACACACAAACAATCATGCTCACACACATACTGAGATCGATTCGGGGGCTGCTGTTTCATTGAAGCGCCCCACTGTTTCTATCTTTGTCCCAGAGGGAACTTGCCAAACGCCAGTTGTCACAGGTTCCAAAACAGTTCCACTGCGCTCTCCTGCTCTATCATTTATAACTTGAGCCCGGGCCAAAGCTGTCTGTCGAATCTATTTTCACATGCAAAAGGCCAAGCGAATTTTGTTTTCTCAAACTAATGTCTGTCTTTTGATCAGATGTTCCAAAGCCTGCCATTCTTTGATCAGGTAATCCAGAGACTTGGCAGAGTTGAGGGGAGGGTGCTTTGCTTTCCGCTTCGCTTCATTTTTCTGCTGATTTGCTCTGAAGAGCGGATGTGCCATGTCTAATGTAGATTAACATTTCACTTGTACAATCAGCAGACACAGCGGTTTTCAGGTTTTTCTAGATGGTGGCACGGAGGAGACAGGCCTTAGCTCATTGTGTATGCTAAAGAGATGCACAGAAGACACGTGTTCAGTATTTGTACCAGATTGAATCCTTGGCCTTTCTCATGCAGGCACATTTGAGAGTGTACAAAGGGTCAGGGTGAAAAAATGTCACTATCTCACCTGGAAACAAACCTTTGTGGACTGTAAAAGATTCGCCCTGTCTATCTACAACCGCTACAGCAATTATTAATTAGATTTCTCTCTTACCACTGATTCCTGTCCCCTTTAGGTGGTGTACAAGCGAGCGGACATGGCCATCGGCTCGCTGACTATTAATGAGGAGAGGTCAGAGGTAGTGGATTTCTCTGTCCCTTTCGTGGAGACGGGGATCAGCGTAATGGTCTCCCGTAGCAACGGAACTGTATCACCATCCGCTTTCTTAGGTGAGAGGCTCTGTTTATGTGAGGCAGCTAGCTGATGTACAGAATCTAATCTAATTGCAAAGTGTTGAGTTTGCATAAAATGCCTCAGTCTTTGGCTGCTAGTCCGTACATCTAGATTAGCCGTTACTTTTTCTTAGCTGCTCGTGTCTTCCCAACTTATAATTTCACTCTGTCAGCAGACTCAAGGCTCCAGCGGGAGGACAGTGTTATTGGCCTATAGACTGCATTGAGATGATTGTAAAAAAGAAAAACAGTGTTTATGGACTTCTGGAGAATATGCTCCAATGGTCTGTTTCTACTGCATACTGGGCTCATCTCGGTTTATATATAGTACATAATGTGCCAGTTTTGTGACATTTGTTCGACCCTTCTATTGATATTAATTATACATATAATAATAACGATTTCATAATGCAGTACAAAACAGTTTAAAAGGCCCTCATGTTATGTGTTTTTTTTTCAAACTTCATTTTGTTTCCTCACAAAGAGCCCTACAGTCCAGCAGTGTGGGTGATGATGTTCGTCATGTGCCTGACCGTGGTTGCTGTGACTGTCTTCATCTTTGAGTTCTTCAGCCCTGTGGGCTACAACCGCAGTCTCCAGACTGGCAAGAGTGAGTGATGAGTCTAAGCTGTCTGTCTTTCCCAGTCTGATAGATGGGTCTGTGTGCAGTCCATCACTGTTGAAATGCAGGTCAAATGGACAAACACACTCCTGGAATGTGGTTAAAAAGTCAAAATGTTGTTTTAATATGACAATTAAGTTTTTGTTTTTACTGGATTTGTTTTCTTGCTGTCTGATTGGTCAGTTGTTACATTCACATGCATTGGTGGACATTTTGAATGTGCTTCTCTGAATTCTTAACTGTGGGTGAGTGTGGTGAAGAGGAAATTATACCTACAGTATGTTGAACTGCATCCAATGATTCTTGATATTGAAGCAGCCATTTATTATTCAACAGCATAGTTTGTACCCCTGTGATATTCAGTATGCCTGATGCCTCGGTCCAATACCCAACCCGACTCGCCTCTATTACTGCATGATTGCTGTGCTCTACATAATTTTACCTCTCTGTCATCCTCCTGTATATCCCTCTCATTCACTCTCATCTCTCTCCTTCTTTCCTCCTTTACTCCTATCGTATAAAGGCATGGAGTGTTTGAGCCCTTTGAATGGTGATTTGCACCATGTAGTTTAATTATTTGTAAGATCACGTAGCTGCTGAATTGAAAGCTGCCATCCTCGAAACGTATAGTCTCCTCCTTATGAGCTTTGGTGTCAGAAAGCCTGCTAGGTATTTTCATATATAGTAAACCCATTTTACAGATCATTCAGGGTACTTTAATTTGAATCGGCTGGCTCATCTGCAGTCAGATGCTGCTGAATACACTATTGTGCCGTATACTGTTTGGATTGCTGTCTGGAAAAAAAGTTAGTGTTAAAATCACTCATTACGCTCAATAATCCATCTCTTTTTTTCTCTCTCTTTTTTCTTCGTCATCATTTTGGCCAGAGGCTGGAGGCTCTACTTTCACTATAGGAAAGTCTGTATGGCTTTTGTGGGCCATTGTCTTCAACAACTCTGTGCCAGTGGAGAACCCCAGAGGAACCACCAGCAAGATTATGGTGCTGATCTGGGCCTTCTTTGCTGTCATCTTTCTGGCCTCCTACACTGCTAACCTGGCTGCCTTCATGATCCAGGAGGAGTACATTGACACAGTGTCAGGCCTCTCGGACAAGAAGGTACCTCCTTGCTTGAATACTGATTAAGTGGGGAAAGCAGTAGGAGAATTAAAGTCTTAGAGTGAGCCAAATCCCATGCATTTGAATGTTAAATTGATTAAAGCACAGGAATTTAGAAATGAATAAAATCTCATTTAACATAACTCAATTACCACAGTTCTCGAATACTTAAAAGACAGTTCTAAATACTACTTTAAGTCCACAGACTGCTCTCTTTTCAAAGATTTGATTTGTGCATAGAGTGTTGTAAGTTAGTCTGGAAAGTGGACAGAAATAGGTCAGACAGATTGGTGCACAGCCTGGTGTGTCTCATGCCCCTTCCGTCTCCCTCCCTTGCCTCCCTTTGCTCCGCTAGTTTCAGCATCCCGAGGAGCAGTACCCACCTCTGAAGTTTGGCACAGTGCCCAATGGGAGCACAGAAAAAAACATCCGCTCCAACTACCCAGACATGCACCAGTACATGGGCAAATACAACCAGAGAGGAGTGGAAGACGCCATTCTGAACCTCAAGACCGGGTCTGTCTGCTACAACATCAGCTTGCTCATTCCCTCACATTTACATGTATCCTGCTCAATATTTGTTTTTCTCCACAACTTGCTTTTTTATTTTCCAGCAGCTGAGTTTCCATTCAAGCATGCTTTGCAAATTATTGTTTATTAAATTAAGGAAGTTGTTAAAATTATTCAAACTTTCCTTAGGCAAATATTAAACTGGATTGTTGTTTGTTTGAAACATAAAATCATTTTGCCAAGAACAACACAACAGCAAAGATGCTCATGTAACAAGTACAGATCCATAAGTTTAAAAAGAAAACATCAAAACACCAAATTTAAATAATAGAGTTGCTGAACTATGAAAGATACAAGATACGCCGCCTTAGCAATCATACAAACACAGATCTTCTTATAAGAAAGTCAACTTCTAACAACAAATCAAGATTTTCAAATACTTAAAAAATGTAAAACTTAACTTAAAAAAAATATAAAAAATGTATTTGTCCAATAAATGATGATTATAGGCTGGTCATAATTAGAATTAACTTTTTAAATTATTTAAAATAAAAAGCCATTTAGTAAAGGTTCAAGTGAATGTGCTTCCATGAAATGGTCAAAATAAGAATTTTTAGCTGTTGTCTTCTGATGTGATTAAAAACACTGACTACAATCAGATCTCCACATTGGTTGGCAATACAACCACATTACTGAAGTCCATTCAGTTGCTCTTTTGGAGCGATTGTATCACACAATCTTCCCAGAGAAGATAATGTTGCCGGGTTGTCATCGAGTTGTGGATGTTCATTTGCCATTCCTCTAAACACTTTTCAGGATTTCAGGTTTACTTAAAAGTTGAGACTAAAAGTTTATTCTTTACCTTGAAAACAGCAGTTGACAATACAGTCTCACTATATGGTCTATTCTACAAAATCTATTTACTGTATTTCCATCAACCCATCTAATGAAAATTATTTTCTTTATGCTCTCACTCTCACACTAGACTAACGGTCTATAATGCACAGTGGCATTCTTTTCAACTCCGACTAACATTTCACATCTTTTGTCACACTTCCTGCTTTCCTGCACAGATTCTCTCACCTTTACTCTCTCTCTCTCCACCTTCTCCACTATCTCAACCCACCCACACAGTGCAAGCAGCATTTCCCTCTTCAGTTTCTAGTAGAATCTCTATCACCCGTCATGTGTTGGATTATCCCAGTTTACTTTATCCTAAGCCTCTGTCATCGTTTCTCCCTCACCATTGCCTTGACACCACAATTATAACTCAATGTTAACATGCACAAAAATGAGAAACTTTTCTTTTCTCCAACCGTCTTTTTCTTTTCCTTGGTGTTTATCTTCCCCTTCCTGTCACTCCTCATCGACCCTCTTATCTTACCATTTCTTCTTCTATTTTTTGGTCCATTCTTTCCCCCGTTCCCAGTGTGCTTTCTCGGTGCATCTGTATTTAAACTTTATAATCCTCATCACTCTCTGGCTCTATCCCATGTCGTTTCCCCCTGAAGTGTGTAAATCTTTCCCCCTCTCTCTCTCTCTCCCTGTCACTGCGCTCTTCGCACCGTATAAATCCCCATCCTCCTCCTCCTCCCCTCCACCACCTTCCCGCTCCCTCTTACTCACACATCTTTCCCTGATCTCTGCCTTATTTTATTCTCCTTGTGTTTTCACTCTTTCCGCCAAGCCTGCTTTACTATTCCACCCTTCCTCCCTTTTCTTGTTATGATTTAACTTTTCATGCCCTCTCTATCATTCTGTGCACCTGTCTGCCGTATATTTTTGCACCCCAACTCACTTTCCAGGTACATTGCAGAAATACACCTTTATACCTCCTCCCCTTCCTTAGTCATTACCTCCATCCCTTTGTTCCCTCTTTTCCATTCAATGATGAATGAATTCTCCCTTGATCCCTTTATAGGAAACTGGATGCTTTTATTTATGATGCTGCAGTATTGAACTATATGGCCAGGAAGGACGAAGGTTGTAAGGTGAGGACTAACCCACACAGGTACTTTTACTCACACACTAGATTCAACTTATTTGCCTCTTGGTAATCTTTTTTAATATCCGCACATTTTTTCCAAGGTGATGACCATAGGCTCGGGGAAGGTTTTTGCCACCACAGGCTACGGTATCGCCCTGCACAAAAACTCACGCTGGAAACGTCCTCTTGACCTAGCTCTGCTGCAGCTGGTGGGAGATGGTAAGAACTGTGGGGAGGGGAGGGTAGAGAGGAAAATAATTAGGACAATGGAGGGGCAAAGGGAAGGTTATGGGTAAAATGACAAGAGAGAGAAACGAGCGACAGAGTAGCAAGAGGGTGGGGGGTGGATGGAGGACACAGGGGGTAGATGAATGAGAGGATGTTGAGTGGTGGATGTGGGAATATAAGGTGTGAAGAGAGCGATGGCTGGAAGGTGTTTTGATTGTGACAGAGGGTATAATGGTGTGTAGGACAGGGCTGATAGCAATTGTAAAGAGGTTTGTGGGTCTCTTTATTGGCTACAAGGGGACACGGGAGCTAAAGGAATATCATTTGTTTTTTGTTTCAAGAATTGGAGAAATGGCTTGATTCTGTTGGTGAAAGTGCACATACCCATCCCCCATTTTCACTCCTCTCAATCTCTCTGACTTTCACTCTCTTTCCCTTTTTTCCTGCTTGGGCTGGTAAAAGAAAAACAGGATTTACTTCTGTGAGTCAATGTTGTAAAAAAAGGATCATCACAACTTGTGTGGTGACAGATTTACACTCATTACAGATTAGCTTAGACTGACACAGAGAATAAGGAAGTGTGAGAAAAACCCCCAAAGAGAAACACCTGAAAATACCCTGCATATGAGATGTGAAAAGGGTGCACTGAAGCAAAAAGAGATATAGAAAACAGATCAGATAATTGAATAATTGATAGCTATGGCAGCATTATTAGTATGCTGTTTGTCTGCTGCACACTCTTGTGTCTTGGATTAATCCATGGAAGGACGGTTCCTTGTTTGACAGAGAGAATCTGTTTTTAGCAATAGTTGTCAGTACACTAATGCTTGATTGTCATTTTACACAGTCCGCCACACGCATTTATTGTCTCAATCGGATACTGGTTGTTTGGCTTTTCCTCGTGTTTTAAATCAGCTTTGCTTATGGCGTGGCGGACAAAGCCCTTTAGCTGTTTCTGGCACGCAGACACTTTAGCTGCTTACACACTGATAATGCCAATTTGGTGCCAAGATCTATTAAATAAGACTGGCGTCTCCAGCTGAATAGTTGAACCTGGGAAAGGATGTGTGTGTGTGTAAGAAAAGGGAGCCCAGAAAGCCTTGACATGCTATGTCTGTTGTTTCTTTTAATTCTTGGTATATGCCCTTGTCCTTGCTGTACTGTTCGATGTAGCAGAAGCCTTTAACATCAGCTGTGTACGCAGGATGTATCTAGTTACAGGATGGTGTTGAATGCTGAGGGTTCTAGTTGTAGGCAGGCATTATTGGAGTGGATTACTAAGGAAGAGGATTAGTTTGTTTGGATGTGCAGGGAGGGTGGGTTGGCGTGGGGGGGGCTCACATTCACCGTGCCCTCAAAGGCTGCATCTCAACAATCGGCCTGCGGCTCAAGGACTCCACATCACACCTTCAGCTGGGCTAAATCATGTCACAGTGTTACATCATTATTGTAGCGTACTGTGTTGAGTCATATCATTTTACAACTGCATTAGAGGATAGAGGGGCACTAGAGAAGTCCGCCACGGCTTTGTCAACCCTGTGAGTGGATTGTTCTCCTTGTTGCTGCCTCTGGTGATTCATACCACAGCATTAAGAGATGGTCCATTGATCTCACTACAATTTGTTTCCTGATAAAGGCAAAACTGCTGAGTAGCAAGATTTCCCTTTTCCCTCTTATCAGATTCACTTCTATTTTTTTGCATAGTATCAGGATTTTGATTCCAAGAATATATTATTCAGTGAGTAGATATTAAAAAAATGTGAGAAGCTGGTTTTGCAACTCTTCGCTAGCGGGAATTTTTTTCTGAAATCTAGCAATGAATGCCTAGAGGTTTGTCATGTTGTGATAAAAGCACAAGATTGTATGGGTCATGGTTTACTGCTCAACAACTGTGGAGCTCAGCGTCTGTGGACAAGTCTGGCACCGTGCCACATCTGGCGCACTGCAAAATCCAAAACATGCAGGCACTTGCACATTTACATATGCATGCACACACACACAAAGACACACACATACAGTTTCCTTTATTAAATAATGTCTTTGTGGTGTATGCCAGCCCTGTATTTGCAGTGTGCCAGCTCTGCCTGACCTGACCTGCCAGTAACGACAGAGGTGTAGTGTGGATTTGACACACCTGTCAGATTTGGCAGGCCTGAGCTGGCTGCGACTGAGAGGTAGAGACAACTGCCATCACAAAGGTCTAAGGGAGGGAAGAAACAGGCACAGTGAGAAAGAGTCAGATTGTGAAAGAGGGAGATGGAGAAGCACAAGATGAATCACTGGAAGTCAAATGGCAGGAAAGCCAGGAGATGAGACTTAGAGCTTAGAGAAATGATTCAACTGGGGCTTGTGAAGTGGAGGACAAACATGTGACTACCTGTTTATCTGTACCTTTTGCTAAGACACTTGCTGTTTTCACATCAGGCACCTGTTTGGACACACAGCTGCTACTGAAGGTCAATGACACCAATAAATCCTCTTCAGTGGGGCTAAACTCTGGAGTTAAAAACAGACCTTAGTGTCTTGGAATGTATGGGTGTATGAGTGAATCTGAGACAGGGAGTTGTTACCTGAGTCTGCCAGTGGGCTGCAGTAGCACTGTGTCCATCTGTTGCTGTTGCTGGAGGACACGGCTGATTGGCTAATGATGTTCTACAGGAGACACATTAGCCAGATCACACAGATGACTGAGTCGGCTTCATCTAAGCTATGCAAGCACAGCTAATGATGGCACAAGTGAAAAGCTCGAGCTTGAGTTTTTGCAGAGCAGTGTAGTGCTGCGAGTGGATGCGTGACTTGTCAGCTTTTAAACCCTGCTTTAGCCTTTTGACTTGAAATAGTTTGGAGACTGTAATATGCAGTAAAATGCAACCTTCAGACCTGGTTATTGCAGTGCTGCTCATTCCACCATTGCTATTAGTGTAACAGGAAGCTCTCATTACGACTTCTATTGGAGAAAATACCTCTTTAATTCCATCATGAATCATACACTGCAACTTCTGGCTGTCCATCACTATGGTTACACCAGCAACACCCACAGCCAATCACGGGTTCAGCAAGGCAGCTCAGATTCATTAGGCCAGTGAGATCACAAATGAAAACCCAAGGTAGTGGGTAAAGTGGCCTTGCTTGGTTCCTGGTAGGTTAACAGATGGGAATCTTGAATCCCCCAGAGCTTACCACCTTGATGGAGATTCTGACCATCCCTCCAGCACAATTAAATGATTATGATCTTCTCCTTCTGCCTCTGTCTCTGTCCCTTCCTATCGGTTCTCTCTCTCTTCACATTTTTCCCTCTTTTTCTCTCCTCTCATCCTCTTCAAGCTGAGGAGTGTTCCTGCTGTTTGTCATAATGACACAATCTCAGTCTCTCGTCCTCCATCTCTGCTTCCCTTGTTCCAGCTCCCTCTAACTCTCTCTGTCTCTGTGTCTGTCTCATTTCCCCTGACGCGTTCGTGGACAGAGAAAGAATGCCCCTCCCTCTCTCTCTTTGTAGAATATTCTTCCCAACTCTCTCATTACCTCTGTCCCTCTCTTCCATGCTTGTTCAACCTATCCAACCACCTCACTGTGGCTCCTGGTCTCCCTTTTCTCCTCCTCTCCTCATTTACTCTGGGTTACAATGTTGAGATTAGGTTGTCGGTGCTATTTTACTTCTCAGAGCTACTTCATTGTTTTTGACTCTCTCTCTCTATCTGAGTCTCCTTTCTCTTTGTTACTTTGGACCCAGTCCAGCTTTTTGTATTACTGACCTTTGACCTTGACGAGTCACCTTGGATAATGGGCAAACAGCAAGCAATACTGTAGACCTTTACTTCAGTGCTTATTATTAGCCTTTCTTTCTTCCTGTGTGTCCATTGTCACTATCTGTTGTCCTTATCTATCTATCTATCTATCACTATCTTATCTATATATCATATCTATCTATCTATCTATCTATCTCAGTGCGACCTTGAAATAACCCCAAGCCTCCCTTAATTCTTCTTGTATCCAATATGATCCCTACTCTCATCTCTTAACCCCTTCCTGTCTTGTCTTGTCCTATATTACTTTATTTTTTATTGTGCATTTCAATCCTCCTCCCTCCATTTGCTCTTGTTTCTTTACTCCTCTGTACTTTAACCCCTTTTAACCTTATCCATTTCCCTTTTCCTGCTTTTTTTCCTCATTCTTGCCCACCAACCCCTACCCCTTCCCATTTCCAGATGAGATTGAGATGCTGGAGCGCCTCTGGCTGTCCGGTATCTGCCATAATGACAAAATTGAGGTGATGAGCAGTAAACTGGATATTGACAACATGGCCGGGGTCTTCTACATGCTGCTGGTGGCTATGGGCCTCAGTTTGCTTGTGTTTGCGGGAAAACACTTGGTCTACTGGAAACTGCGCCACTGCATGGCCACCAGTTCTGGCAAATTGGACTTTCTCCTGGCAATCAGCAGAGTAAGTGTTTTTGTCTGTGTGTAGTGTTTTTCTGCACTAGCACATTAAGCTGCGAATTCACAATAGGATTGCCCAGCTTTTGCGGCCCCAAAACCAGCAAAAAAACCACAAAAGAAATTCACAAACATCGCAGGGTAGTAAGCAGAATAAGAATTAAGTTCTTTCTTTCAAATTAAAAATTTTAAAATATGAGTGGAAAGTATTCTTCTAGCAACTAGGTTTGCTAAATTTTTTGACACAATCATTGCTTAACCATCTCTTGTGATATGTTACTTTGGTATACCTTAAGAACAAATATTACTGGGGCCATTGCATATGAGTATTTAACTGACGCAAAACATGGCCAAATTGCAATGTACGCTGCGTTTTAACTTTACAGGCATGTTTGCTCTGTAATATCATTAATGCAATATCTTCAATGAATTGGACCTTAAAATGGAGCGTGCTTGCAAGTGATCCACAGTTCATGGTGCTTTCAGTGGCCGTGATCCATTCTTTGTGAATTCACCTCTGACTGTCTTACTGTTTAAATTCACATTTTCGTTGCTAATCTTTTAACTTTCACCATAATTAAAACATTTTTCTGTGGCAACCACCATGTGGTCCTACAATTTAATGCACTAAAACTAGACTACACTGTACAGGACAATATGACTGGAACTAAAATGCTGTGCATGTAAACATATGCACACAAATGTGTAAGCATGTGTCTTACTGCCTGTGTGTGCCCTTATCTGTTACTGAGTGTGAGTAGAAAGTGAGAGGTCTGGGGTCAATTCAATTCCACTCAGTCAATTCGGGAGATTAATTGAAATTCAATTCCGCTTACAACCTGGATATCCTGTTCCTTTGACAGTGACCTTGACAGAATCAGCCCACACCATATGCATGTGACTATTGCAGTTTTGCTGATAATAATTTATCCTTTTCCACCACTGAGGTTGTAATTTATGCATTTATGTATGCAATTTAATTGACCAAACAATGCACAACTGTACTATAAATAGGACTGGATGTTTATCTGGAAAATAGCAATCTTGCATTTCTTTTGAAAACTGGAACTTATTTGGATTGCTGTTTTATGATTTTCATTATCATTCATTCCCCTCTCCCCTTTCTGTCCCCATTACTGTTTCTCATGCACAAACAGTAATATAATGTCTTTTGTACGTATGTAGCATGATATCTGTAGTCTACTGCATCTGTACACATCTGTTATTAGATTTTTTTTACCAGTATATTTCGGCACCTTGATCTCCAAAACAGCATTTATTTGTTTCATTTTTCATTTGAGGAAATACTTTTTATTGTATTTCATTTTACTCAGAGGATAAACTCAGACTCTGTAATTCTGATTTGTATTTTTTTTTCTCAGGGCATGTATAGCTGCTGTAGCTTTGAGGATGAAACAGCGCCAGGTGGAGCTAAATCTTTGCCCACTCATCACCATACTACAATGGTTACAGTTCCATCCCAGCCACATGTTGTCTCAACGTCTATGACCAACCCAGCCATTGCCATGGCGCAACAGCAGCAACCACCGCAACAGCAACAACCGCAGCCCGTATACAAAACACCTCTACCGGGCTCTCCTCCCACCGTGGTGCATTCTGGGACAGCACTGGGTCCCTCCAACACCCCCATTGCTGGTGCACCCCTCCCTTGCTCCACCTTCCTGCCCCGGCCAGACCGCAGACTGGCTGTGGTGGATCGCTGGAGGCTGCCCAAATCGGCTACAGCCACCAACCCAATGGCTGTAAGGGGGGGCATCACTGACATGGGACCCTTTGCTCAGAAAGTCCCACCAAACTGGGCTTCAACTGCTGGAGGGGGCGGGGGACTTGATGGTTATAAGAGATACTATGGTCCCATTGACCCTGAGGGACTGGGGCCCTGCATGGAGCAGCCGGCAGGGTCCCAGACCCCCAAGACTATGCCCAGGGGCCACCCCCAGCCCCCTCCAGCTAGTGTGGCCTTCTACTCAGAGAAGGGCATGGACCACGGGGTGGGGAAGAGGGTGGTGGGAGGTGGCAGCGGAGGTCAGGGGAAAGGGGCCGTTAAACCTCTGGGCACTCCCAGATTGCCTCCTAAGAGTCAGGCCCCTCTGCCTCCTACACCCCCGCTGCCACACCCCTCTCCCCCTCTCCCCTCATCCTTCTGGAGGAAGCGCCGGCCCAAGAAGCCCAAAGAGCCTGGAGGGCCATTATATGAGAACATTCTGCCCCTGGGGCGGAGGGGAGAAGCACGAGATGGAGTGAGGGAGGGAGGAGGGAGGAGGGCACGCCCCCTCTCTCCCCCGCTCTCACTTCCTGTGCCAGTACCCCTCAGCCCCTCTTACACCCCTCCTTCTCCCTCTGCATCCTTGCACTATACATCCTCATCCTCTTCGTCGACCACTTCATCTACGTCCACGTCCTCATCTGCCTCATCTTCTCGCTCCACCTCTCCCACCTACTCTTACAGCTCCTCCAGGAGCACACGAGACAGGACTGGAGGAATGGATGGAGAGGATGATGATGACGATGAGGAGCTGACGGAAGAGTCAAGCCTCCTCCTTGGTAGGGGGAGGGAGAGGGAACGCTCAATCATCCGGCCTCGTTCCCTTAGCCACGGCCGCCTGCCACCACCCATACCCCCCAGGAAACCACGCACATCCTGGGGGGACAGAGAAAGGGATCGCGAGAGGGAGAGAGGGGGAAGCCAACTGTCTCAGCTCCAAGAGTGGTGGGCAAGCTGGAGTGAGAGAGAGAGGAGTGGAGGGGGTGGAGATGCTGAGAGGCAAAAAAGGGAAAAGAAGAGGAGAAAAGAGAAGGAGAAAGAGAAGAAGAAAAAGAAAAAGAACAAAAAGAGGAAAAAAAGGGAAGAAAGGGAAAGAGAGCGCGAGAGAGAACGGAAGCGGCGAAAGGTGAAAAAGAAGAAGAAGAAGGCACTTAAGACAAAGAAAAGGAAGAAATCAACTGGGGGTAGACGCTCTGAGCCAGAGGAGGGAGATGTAGAGCCAGAGAGAGAAGGAGAAGCAGAAGGAGACAGGGAAGGAGGAATACAAGACTACTCTTCCTTCTCTGCCCAGTATCGGAGCACATTTGGGGAGAAGGGACGGGATTCATGGGAAGGAGAGCGGGAGAGAGGTAGGAGAGAAGGGGGAGATGAGGGCAATGACAGGGAACAGGAGGATAGCAGCAGAAGCAGGGAGAGGCGTCCCAAATCCTCACGCTCTCATTCAAGACATCATACCCCCAATAAACGCTACCCTAACCTCAATAAACTCCCTGCATCTGTCAAATTTTGGGTAAATGGAAGAGGAGATGATTCTAACACCCCTCCAACATCCCTGCACCCACTTCTTCCATCCTCCAAACGGAGAAGAAGTGGAGGGATGGACAGAGAAGACAGTGGTAGACTCGGAGAGCGGCGTCCTTTGTTAATGCATTATGAAAAAGAGAAAGCACAGACAAGAGAAGGGCTGTCCTTCCATGAGTGGGACTCTGAGGATGACGAGGATGATGATGAGGAAGAGGAAGAGAGGGAGAGAGGGAGAGAGCGGGGGGAGGAGAGGGGAAGGAGAGCAGGTAGGGGGGCAGTGTCTGAGTCAGAGAGGGACAGAGCCAGGGCAGAGGACAGTTATTCAGATGAGGGCTCGTCAGGGGAGTTCGGACGTTTTGAAAGATACTGGGAAGCGGGTGCAGGGGGAAGCAGCACTGGAATAGGGGGCATAGGCGGAGGAGGGTGGTTCTTCGGCACCTACCCCTCCAGAGAGAAAGGAGGCAGTATCAACAGTCGGGATGATTCCTTACTAGGAACTCGGGCAGAGGGTTGGATTGGTGCTGATTTCTGGGGTTCAGGGCCAGGAGTAGGTTGGGGGTCAGGGGGAGGGAGTGGGGGGCTCGGCACGCAGTGTCCGCCACCCCCCGCAGCCTTCCCTCCTCCTAGAAGATACTGGTCTATGGACAAAATCCCTGTGAAAGGAGAGAAAAAGTGGAAGAGTGGAGGAGGGAAGAGCAAGGGGCGAGCTAGGGACAGAGGGGAAGACGCAGGACGGGCCACTATGTGTTCCTGTAGCCTTTACCCCCAACCACATCCTTACCCACATCCACACAGTCGCTCGCACACCTCCCACTCCAAGAGAGGAGCCACGGCCCTTTCCCATAGCCAGGAAGAGCTTCTCCCCCACTGCCACAGCTTCAGCGGGGGTTCTCGCCCCAAACCTCTGCCCCCCAAACCAGATCCCAGTCAGGCCAAATCAGGCAGCCAATCTAACCTCAGCCTCAGCACACAGCCCACAGACCATCCGCCGCAGCCCTCACCGTCACCACCCCAGCAGCCGTCCATGTCTCCCACCTCCCTCCCGATGCCCATCCCGCCTCCGCCCTCCTCATCCTCCGTCTCACCACCAGCAGGGGTAGGGATGGCAGGCCAGGGCCAGGCTCAGGCTTCGGCCAGTGCCAAACTCCAGTATCAGAGACTGCGCTCGGTGCCACAGCCACGGAGGTTCTACTCGCCCCACCTGCCACTCAAAGCCAAGAGCCTGTGCTCACGCCGAGGGTCGGCCCACTTCTCCAGCCTGGAGAGCGAGGTATGACAGGGGGAGAGGAGAGAGGGAGACGTGGGAGCGAGCACCACTGCTACTGAGAACCGTGGTACCATGGCAGCTGGAGCCAGGGATGACACCAGAGATATGGCTGCCTTGGTGACCATAGGTAATCAATTAGCGACCATCACTGGGGAAACTAATATGGACAGTAGTTCTACTGCTAACACTACTCTGTGTGAGAGCAACGCTACCGCCACCCGCTCCATTGTACGCGTTCTAGTGAGGGCGACAGTGAGACGCCACACCAGGGTGAGCTACATCCGTTTGGATGGTTCCCATGACGACGTGAGTGAAGGCGAGACTGCATCACTGGGGACTGCAGCTCCTGAACTTCTTCTCCGCTCAGAATTGAGCTTTGTGATGTCATCTTCGGTTCTCCTCCCCTCCCCGAGTCACAACTATGGATAAGAGTAGTCTCCAACCTGTGAGTAATGATGTCATATTTGTACACACAAACACACACATGCACGAGCACACAGAGACACAGATACACAGATACACACAGATATATGCTCAAAACGTCTCCCTCCCTCTGGCTTTGAGAACACACATCGGTGGGATGTGGAGAGACCCACCCTCTCCCAAAAGAGACCAGTGTTTGGTCAATAGACTCTGGCTCCCTGTCCTCATTGGCTGTTGGCTTTTGAACTGGATTGGTGGACTGCTTCTTGGTGTTGGAGAGACTGCCCCCTCTTCTTCCCTTTTGTAAATCAGTTGATATGAAAAGCAATGCAGTCAGCTCTCTCATGCACTCTGTCTGCCTGATCACCTTTCACTGGGCAGTGAGGACAGTGCTATTTATTTGCCCACAGTGACCTCATGACACCATCAGACCCATCTAGCTCTACCCCAGGACCATCTACGTGATGTCATGTTTTACTAGAAACCCTTTTAACCAATCAGATTGAACAGGAACCACTTCTCCTCCTCCCTGTTGAAGCTTGTCATGTCACCTCTGGTCCAACCAGAGCTCGAACACAGTTGAGTATTTGAACAACAAACTGAACTTTAAAAGAGAAATAACAATAAGAACAAAAAAGACATGTAGCAGATTTTCTTTTATGTCTGTCTTTTCTTTTCTTTCGTACTCAGACTTTTCTCCCCACACCCTCTTTTTTATTCTATCAATATATTTCTCTCACTGTGTTAGTGTTTTAATAAAGAGGAGGCTGGATGTGGCTAGTGTTGGAAGTGGGAATGATTCAATAGCAGTGCCAAATTTCCACTCAAGAGCTTTCAGGCAAGATTGGTTTTCAAGTAATTTGTTTTCATAGATAAAGCCCCATATTTTCTTTCCACATGTGAACAACGCATAATTCACCATCATGTAAGTGGATCAAGGGGATGATTGGTGTAATATCTGTAATTGGCACTAGATGGCTGCATAATATTCAAATAAGCTTTGGAGACAATTGTGCAAGAGGCTTCTGGTGAGTTTAATAACTGTAGCTACATGAAGCAGAGCAAGGGGCGTGCAGCTATGAACTTTATTATTTTTATGAAAGTGGCCAGTCAGGATTTATTCACAGGAAGTTAAAGGGGGATTGAAACCAAGTGCAATGTGTTGTAAAAGCTCTGTTAGGATATTATTGTATTTCACTACTATACTGTACCTTGGCAGAGTTTGTAGACGATGGATTATATGAAGCACAATTCTTCATTGTATTTTTCAGACATGCGTGCCACAGTTGTAATTGCACAATCTACAGGTAACATATTTTGCTGATATGTGGAAAACTATTCACTTGATGTTAATCCATGTTGCTATTATGGACAATAAAATTCACTGTAACCAAGGTTCCAATAACAAAGTACCACAGATACTTGTGCTGAGGAAATGATCTTGTACTTTGACTATTTCCATTCAGCAAATAAGACTGAACAATATACTGTGAATGTTTTGAGTTCCAATTTGAGGTGCATATACAATAGCTGAGACTTCACTGAATGCAGTCAGTAATAACTCCTGTAATCAAGATTATCAGATGACTGTTTGACTTTGAGCAATATTCCCACCTTCAATGTGACCGGGATGCAATGGCACATCTGTTTGCACCTGAGACATTGTAATTGTTTTTCCTCTAGTTTAAAATGAGATCATTTGTTTCGGCCAGAGTCAGATGTTCCACATCCTCAATGATTTTCTTACAGGTAGAATAAGTTTAATCTAATTTGGTCATGTGATTGTAATAAATGAGTTTAAGTCCACAGCACCTGGCTCTGGCTGACCAATATGAATACAAAATGCTTTGTGTTGAAGAGAGAGTAGTGAACTCTAGCATTGTACCTTCTGTGAGCTGTGCCAAAAGCCATCTACTTTGTAAACTGTGCCAATGTTGCCAACATTGCAATGCATACGCTCTCCATTTTCATACAGTCAACATATCCACCTCATTTCTCACACTAAGACCAGCCACAGCCCAGCTCTTCTTCTATTGTAGTTGAATGTAGCTTTGACATGATGTAGCAAAAGAACACCTACTTTTAGACTTTGTAGCTTTTTGGATGCTGTTGATAATGGCTAGAAGGGGGGGGGGGTTGACTTGCTATGTGAGGGACTGTGCGTTGTGTTTGTGCATGTCGTCACAGATCGAAGGGTTAGTTGACCTTCTCAATTCCCCTTTTAACTCCTTTGCCTTTAAATGAGGGCAGACTGTACCTTTTATCTGCACATGGATTGCTTTTTTTCTAGGTCTGCGTGGGGCAATTTTTAAATCAATCTGTCTTGGTTTTTAGAGAAATGCTTTTGCCGTTTCCCATCCTTTGGAAAGCCCCAGAGTCATTGCATGTTTAGCTGAATGAAATCTCAAAGATTTGTGGTGGGAGGGTTGTGTAGTTCAATTGTAGCAAATGCTTAGGACCCAGGGCAGCCACCTTTCTGTGAGGTAGTAAGCTCGCTCTACTCTGCACCCCAACAGTGGAAACCACGGCAACAGTTGCTTCCTGTGTAGTACAACACAATCATTTTCAACCAATCAACAGGGCTTAAACCTGGTATGTCATTGAGCATTATTTTTATTGAGGCGCTAATACTTAAGTCTGTGACTGCATGAACAGAAGTGACTCTTCAAAACCCTCTGGCTTATTTTGTTTTATTTATTTTATTTTATGCTGAGAAAAAAGAATATATTAAAATATACTATGTTTTTGAGAATGTACCATGTTATACTGTGATTTAACTGAGATATTTTATTGTATTCAATTATCATTTGAATTCTATCATTTATCTATAAAGAAATATATATGTACAAATAAATATATACATATATATACATACAGGTATATATATATATTAGTTAAGTTTGGTATATTTGGAGGAAGTGTTAGATGAAATAGTTTTAAATGTTTTAGCTTTGTAGCGATTCTAGACACTGAAATCATTTTTGAATTTCGATTCCTCCTATATGACTGTGAAGACATTAGTGCCTGTGACAAAAAAGACAAGTAAAAGTCTAAACTCTCTATTCATCTGTATCTACTATAGCTATCAGTCTGTCACTCCTCTCGTACTACCTAACATTACTTTTTGACACTCGCTGCTTTAACACATCAATATGTTTCGCTCACACAATCTGCTGTCTCTTTTGCTTTCTCCTGCTCTCCTCTGCAGTTCTTTCTCCTGGTTTTCATTAACAAGCTATGAACATTCTCCACCTCTTCTCTTTTAAAGTTTTATCATATGGTGATCACATCTCTTTGTTAATTAACCCATCCATTGACCTTTGCTTTTTTTCCTTTGAACACTTTCTTTTTAAATCAGCTCATTTCTCTGTCTGTCTCTCACTTAGCAAAAAACAGAGACCAGTAGATACTGTGTTCTTGCTCCTTTTGACTGATTGTTGATGATGATGATCAATTAATTGATTGATGAAATAATTAATGAACAATGTTACTATTACTGATGTGACTGAAGTGTGTATCTGACGACCATGCCACTGTAGCAAGTCTGGGCTGTACCACACCACCAGCGAGCAAATGAGGCCACAGTTGCTATGGTGTTGCCATGGCATTTTCATGGCGTTGCCATGGTGTCCTCTGCACCGCCACCACCTGGTGCCTGCTGGGTAATATAGTATAATGTCCTTCACTTTCCCCAAAGCACTGGTCAAAAATCTGCTATGCTCCCCTCTGCTCAGTCCTGACCTTAATCAGTGGGAGGTGAAATATTTAAAGCTCACTTTGGGAGAGTGCTGAGGGGAAACATGGTGGTGATGTGTCTGCTGTCTATGCTGATCTAGACTGGACTGGTTTGGCTTGAAGTGGCTATGATAAAGTGTTGATATTGTATTGATCACCTAATCTTTAAATCATCAGTTTGTGCTGCCCTGCATGTTATCCCACAAGCTTCATATCACGGATAGCCTCAAACCAGTCAGGACAGAAGTGTGTTTCTGTGTCTATACTTTCCAGTATTGTGTGTGTGTGTGTGTTTAATGTTGAGAGGGTACAAGCCATGTATGTGTATTGCATGTACACTTATCATGTGTAAAAGCCCAATGCAGCATGATACTGTAGTGCTCTCCTTTGCTTTCCCTCTGTTTTTCTTCTCCCACTATTTCTGAAAAACACATACACACACACTTTGCTGTGCATGCATATTTAACATACAATGCGTACATCACTCAGCCAATGATCCTCATCTTCCTCTAGCCCTCACTAAGCTGCAGTCTAAAGCATCGCCTCAAGTAGTTTAATCATCCCACACAGGCACACGTGTGGCTTCACAAACACTCACAGTGCACACCACGCACGCACACACACACAC